CCTGTGTATTTTGTGCTTCGAATATCGCTTTATTTTATTGTCATATTATTCATTCATCTGTATGTTGTACTACTCTTCTTTTCATATTATTTTATTGTTGTTATTACTTTTACTTTTGTATTCCCTTTTTCAAAATGCTTGGCCATGCTTTATTTTTAGCCAAGGGTCTATTGAAAGCAACCTCTCACGCACACTCTACTTTTCTCTAGACCCCACTTGTGAGATTACACTGAATATGTTATTGTTGTTGTTGACTTGTCTATGGGACTGTGAGGTAAAACATCCAGACAAATAAAATGGGGTACTTGCCCCTCATCTACCACAAACTAATTTGTGGTTGCAAAAAAATTTGTCCCAAATTTAAGTCAATTTCCATAAAGACTCGAGTCTTTAATTCTTGGTGGCCAGTACCAATTATTCCAAATTTGTTTTCTCTAAATGTTGTTTTCATTTCAAGGTCATCCACTATATTTGCCGTGTGTGTTACGCAAAACAATGTGAATTGGTCCTGTTACGTAACACACACTGTAGAAAAATTTGGTGCAGAACTTGTAACAAATTTCCAATGAAAGATACTATTGCTTGACTAAGTCAAGTGAGAATGTTACAGTGGAATTTTGAAGTCATTGAACCAATTAGTGGTTCATGTTACATTCTACATATTTTAATTTGAGACCACAAGATACAAAAAAAAAAAATTACTTTTTTAAATTCCATGTCAAGTCAAAACCATACAAGCATACTGAAACAAAGGGATTAGTATCTAAATTCTCAGATAAGTGAACACTTATAAAATACTTCAGATTTACCTATAAGCTGTTACCAATTACCATATTTGCTTCTAAACAACTGATGTTGTTGGATATTTTTGATGACGGACATAATTGGTTGCTCACATTACAACTTGTATTTTATTCTCGAAAGCAACCTCTCTATCTCTACCTCATAGAGATAAGGTCTCTGTACACTCTACTTTTCTTAAACCCCGACTTAAGGAATTACACGGGGTATGCTATTGTTGTTGTTGGTGACTTGTCTATGGAAGTGCGAGGTTTAAATTAAAGAAAGAAAAGAAAAATATCCAGACAAATAAAATGGGGTACTTAATTTCCCCCTCATAATTTGTCTATTTCCAAAAAGACTGACCAAGTTTTTCAGTCTTGGTTGATAGTACCAATTATACAATATTTGTTTTGCTCAACTTTGGCATAAACTGAGAGAAAATAATACAACTTTGGCATCACTAAATACACAACTTGTGGTCCATGGATGAGTACTAGTCACTTCTAACAACTCGTCACTCATATTTTGTAGTGTTTCACAAGACTTTTTAGAAAACGGAGAAGACTTGAGAAAATAATTAATACTCACCTATGTTCTAATTTTTCTCTAGATGTGTATTCATTTCGAGGTCATCGACTATCTCTGCAAAAACTACAGGGAAACAAAGGGAGAAATATGATACAGTTCAGCTAGCTTCTTTGGAATTGCTAGGTAGTGGACCGGATAGGGAATTACTCGACAAGTCTAATCTTTGTAGACATTTCAAGCTTAAAATGGACGGGGAAAATGAACCGATAAAGCTGTTATTAGAACGACCCAATTCAGCTAGCACTTGGAAGTTTGAGAATGCATCCAAAAATTCTCCTCCAAAAGATCTAAAAGTGTGAGTTGCTTCAATTTAGAGATTGTTGATGGAATAGTTCCATGAAAGATAACTACAACTAAGGTCTAGACCAATAACAAAACCCGTTAACATGTCACAAGCGACTCCATCCCAACTGCATCAATCCCTACTCTCATTCCAAGAGATTGTTTTTGGGAAAGAATCGCCTCCATATCACTAAGTCACAGGTTAACAGGTAGTTCCTTCTACTAAAATAACACATATAAGTTGCTATCAAAATATATACAAACAACAAACAGAAAATTAAGAAGAAAAAATAAAAATAAAAGTTCAGTTAGACAACAAACTAAAATACATCACAAAGACACTTAGTACTTCCAATCTTCAATTAAATGCGCTGTCCCTCCCTTCTCTTCTTTGACCTTCTCATTTTCTTGGGGAAAATGCCTTCAAAAAATTCCACAAACCATTTTGATTTATGATATTTAAACATAAGGCTCCACACAACAGTTCCAACAACGAGTCCAAAACTGTAGCCTATGACTACTAATTCCCAAGTAAATCCACTTAAAAAATATGACTCGTCTTCATCTTCTTCAGAGTCCAAGCAGGAAATGTGTCATTTATAGCGTTATTCCCCATATCAAGAACTTCTAAACCACTACAGTTGAGCAACTAATAGCTATTATACAATATATTAATCATCGAAAAATTAATTTAGAGACATTTATATTGCAATTTATAGTTTTTAAATAAAATTTGTAAATATATAAATTATTAAAAATGTTTTTACTCTATTATCTCAATTTATGTGACATTAATAAAATTTGGGAAGTTGACTGATATTCATTTTATATTTTTTTTTAAAATTACTAATTATTATAATTAATAATATTAATTACATAATTTCTAAATATGAAAATTATTAAAATTCTATTAATATTAAATGACAAGAATGCCCTTTAATAAGAAGTTTAATTCCAAGAAACACACATTTCATCGTCAACATGTGTGTTCTAGCCTCTTATACTAATGTATAATAATATAATATAATATATGATATAATATAATGTAATGTATAATATATATTATTAGTTAAAAAAAAGGTACATTTAGTTATGTTATTTTAATTTTGACTAAAGAAAAATTTATTTCTAACTTATTTTATTATAAATAAAATGTGTTTAATAGTATATAATATATATAAATATTTTTAAAAAAAACTAATCCATTAAATAAGAAAAGAGAATTTTTGGATAAACTATTAGCGATACTGATAGTTAGGGGTGTTCACAGTTTGGATAAAAACCGATCCAAACCAAAAAACCGAACCAAATTGATAAAATAAAATCGATTTTATTTGGGTTTGGTTTGGTTTGGTTTTAGATTTTTGAAAACCGATAGTATTTGGTTTGGATATGATTTATTCAAAAAAATCGAAGAAATAACCGAACCGAACCGATGAATTATATACATATATTTTATTAATATATATACTTAATTTATTGTTTTTATAAACAATTTTAAAGATCTTATACATATTTTCATTAAAATTTCTTTATAATTTACTTATTAAAAACAAAAATTCCCAAGATGAAATATTTATCTTATTGATTTCATGTATATGAGTGTCTACGTCAATTCTTTGTGGGACTGAAAATGTTATTGTCTCTTCCTTCTAGGCCAATATAGTGAATTTTAAAGCTTTACTGATAGTAAATTTAGTGATCGAAAGTTCAGTAATTTAAGTCATTCTAACTATTTTTCATTTTGAATGGATTGTTGTCACTTTTTTCACATTTTAAATGAATTGTTTCTTTTATTTTTGTGTATGGTTAATAACCGAATAACCGAACCAAACCAAACCAAAACCGATAACCAACAAACTGATAAATGTATATTATATTTGATTTGGTTTGATTTTGATAATTTTAAAACCGATTAAGTTGATTTGATTTTGATTTTTAGTTTGGTTTTAATAATTTAAAAATCAATTAAATTGATTTGATTTTAATTTTAATCAATAACCGATCTAAACCATCCGTGAACACCCCTACTGATAGTTTTGAATCAAATTGTGATAAAGAGAGATATTTTTATATTTAATTATTTTTTCAATTTAATATAGTTTGGATTTTTTAATAGTAAAATTATTAATAAAATCTAAATGGATAAAGACATCATGGGAATACGAGAAACCTTATCCATCCTCATCATTGTCACGTCACACTCTATCACTAGAAGATAAAATTGACATATTTCATCTTTAGCATCCTTTATTATTATTACTATACTATAAAAATAAAAACATTAATGTAAAAAGTTTATAATAATATATATATCCTCCTTCAGTAACCATTTTTTTATATTGTTGTTAGATATTCATCTTGAAGCTAAAAAAAGATACAATGTTGGCTATATTTCACAAGGGATTTGCTCATCCTCCTGAAGAATTAAATACTCCTGCATCAAAAAAATGCTTACTTCCTCAACAAACACTTCAAAAACTCATCTCGACTCGTTCATTTGACACCTCTTATGTTACCTTTGGATCGGAGATGCTGCTGCTCTTGCTTTTGTTCGTCCAAATTGCACTTCCTTGCTCAATCACACACAAAGGTAAAATAATTATTACAAATTTTAGTACTTTTTTCGTTATATTTTATGTGATACTGTTTAATTTGTGATACGATAAAATTGTATTATGAATATCCTTGTATTAGGGTATAGGTGGCTTAGATCGCACTACTTAGGAGTTGGAGTGAGTCATTTTTTGTCAAATTCTGTGTGAACTCGAAATGCTTAGTGAATTATGCTGCCTAATTAGAAAATTATATTTTTTGTTAAGAGATTTATACACGAAGATATAGAGTATTTCAAGTACTTATATTATTAAAAACTAAGATAAGCTTAAATGGACTGATATGAACACTAAAGATGACCCCAAATTAGCTACAAATTTGGTCACTTGTTCATTGCTAAATACTTCGTCTCGTTTAGTTGTCGTGTATATTAAAAATAATTATTTTTATATATTTCCCAATTTAATGAATCAAGAAAAAAAGTACTCTTGATAATGTTCAATCCATTATGTCAATGTATAAACCTTTGAAAAAGCTCAAAATTAGCCCATCATCACAACATTATAGCCTTAGATCAAGCGAAGACGGGGTGGAGCCTGTAGCTCAGACGATTAGAGCACGTGGCTACAAACCACGGTTTCGTTCTCCTTTTGCTCTAGATGATCCTCCATCAAGTAATTGTCACATTAATTGGCAATCACTTACTCAAAATCAAACTAATGATTTCTTTTGCACCTCAAAGTTGCTTTAATCAGTGTCGAACCACTGACAATGGGACGAGGACGACTACAATGATGAATGTTTATGGCACTGTCTCACAACGCCATTGGGGAAAATGGGTAGCAGAGATTCGCCTTCCTCGTAAAAGAACTAGACTTTTGTTAGGCACGTTTGGAAGTACTGAAGAAGCTGCTTTTGCTTACGATGTCGAGGCCTCTAGGCTCAGAGGAACAGATGCACGTCTTAATTTCCCACATCTGGTTTTGGCCTTTGATATGTTCAATTCTTGAAAATTTGATCTTGTTCGAGAGCTTTGTTTTGTCGTAGGTAGAATCAGAATTTGAAATTTATGAGTTTGGAACTAGTGATTGAATTCATAGCTTATTTTAGTTATTACTGAATTCACAATTACATATTTGATGAAATTTTTAATAGGGAAAAGAGACAAATATATCCAAATTATCGTAAATGGTATGCAGATACCCTCTGTCCTATTTTTAGGACATTGGTACCCCTACCGTCCAAAAACTAGAGCATATATACCCCTTTATACTAATGGGCATACACGTGTCATAATCTTATCCACCGACTCGACATTTTATTAAATATTAGATTGACGGATAAGATTGCACCACATGTCCCTATTTAGTCTTCCGTTACAGTGAAAGGCATATATACTCTAGTTTTTGAACGTCAGGGGCACCAATGTCCTAAAAGTATGACGGAGGGTATTTGCATACCATTTACAATAGTTCGAGGTATATTTATCCCTTTTCCCATTTTAATATATGATCAAAGCAAAATTTCATTAACTTAGTCCAAGCCGTAGACAGTACTATAGCTCCGCCCCCGTTTATAACTACAAAAATATCTATTATTATGCCTACTCTTAGCATTTATTTGAATAGCAACCTCCATGATCAATATTGTAATCTCGAAAGTTATATTTCTTTAATTGTGATCGTTTCACACCCTTTTCGTTTACTATTCAAATTTTACTAGTACATGTACTTCATTTTGATCTAACAACTCGTCATTTCATTGATTGATAGGCCACAATTCAAACAGATAATGAACAAGTGTATACTTATTGTGTCTATGACTCCGATATTTCAACTGGATTTGGCGTTGGCGCCTTCTTATTTCTCATGGCTGGACAAATCCTTATAATGGTGGCGAGTCGTTGCTTCTGTTTTGGAAAGCCTTTGAGCCCCGGTGGTTCAAGGGGTTGTGCTGTTCTGTTATTCATCATGTGTTGGTATATGACTCACCACAATATATTTTTTCAGACTCGATATAATGTGATAATAATTATTAACCTATGTTTCAGGGTTACATTTTTCATCGCGGAGGTGTGTTTGTTGGCTGGTTCAGTTAGGAACGCGTACCATACAAAGTATAGATCATCGCTCTTGTTTAATGATCGACCTGTATCTTGTGAGACTGTGAGAAAAGGCGTTTTTGCTGCTGGAGCCGCGTTTATTTTCTTCACTAGCATAATCAATAAGTTTTACTTTATCAGTTACTCCAACGCTAAGGATGGAGCTGGACCATATGGTGGAGAAGCTGGTGTGGGAATGGCAGCCTACAAATGAGTGTGATCAATCATGAAGTTCTATATGTATACAATTTTTTCCAGTTTTTAGTTGTACTTGACTTCATATTTTGGTACTCTTGTTTTTTTTTTTTTTGGAGAATGTTTAGGTGTTCAAAGGGTGTTTGATCCTTCTTTGTTTTTTTTTTTTGGTATTGGTGTTTATAAGATAGTATTTTTGAAGACATAAAACCATTAAGTTTACAATATGTATCTAATTGTGATGTCTTTTTGTTAAAGAGAGTCCTTCGCGCAAATTGTTTTTGTGAAAAAGTTAAAGTTGATTTTTTGGAATATGATAGGTTGTTCTAGTAATGTTTCTAGAATAGTATCTAGGATAATTATCTTAAAGAAATATCTAGATATTAGATGCTCTTGAGGAATTAGATATTTGTAGTGAATCATGGAATAGTCTAGATTTTGTAGTATCTAGAACCATCTATAGATAAATATAAATAGGGGATGCTATTGAATATTTGTAACCAACCAAAACTAAAGACAATTCAAGATTCTTCACCATAAACAAGTTCTCCTTTCTAGCTTCCTCTTCTTTGGTTGAATCTTCTGGTCTTAGTTAACGATCTTAGGCTAGCAGAAGGTTTCCGGATAATACTTTTCTTCTGCTATTCTATACAGTTTTGAATAGGCAAATTTAAGCAAGAAGGAGAGTAGTAACATCTTATTATCCACATGAACTAGTAGTATGCCTCCTACTCTGTCTCTATAAAAAAACCTACAAGGATCGGAAATCCTTTTTTTTTAGAGAGTCGATGCACTCAGACAGACTCTAATAGCAGTTGTAACCTACTTCACGTCATCAAATATGGGAAAGAGTACCTTTATTTTACTGGAAAGAATTGCTACCATAGGATTTATGACAAGATTTGATGGATCAAATCATTCTAAAAAAGTGAGACTCCATCTAAATCTTTTACTCCTTGGGTGAGACATTCTGTTCTATGAACACCCCCAAGTCCACAGAATGATTCACTTTCAAGAAATTAGATATTCTTTTTGAAAAAGTAAATAAATAATATAAAATAAATAAATTAAAATAGAAAGCGTGATTAATTCTTGACCAATGGCGTTGCTTATAGTAATGTAGACGTTATTCGAATGGATTTTGTCAATATGTAAATTCACATTAATCTATATAATAATTTATAATGTAAATTGACAATTGACACAGTACTCACTTGAAGGGTTAAAACTCTGGCGTCATTTGGAAAGAAAAACTGCATTACTATTCTGCACGCTTCGATACATTTGTTTAGCTACAAAATTTATCTATCGTTAATTACATATATATAATCTTGAAAAGCACTATAGATAGGTGGGATGGGATCAGGAGCAGGGGTGAAGCGTGGAGGGCGTTGGGGGTGCGATCATACAGAAGATATAATGAGCTTAAAATGTCACGTGTAACACTTATTTATTTTGGGAAAATGCATAAGTACCCCCCAGCCTATGCCCAAAATCCCCGAGACACACCTAACCTTTACTAAGGTCCTATTACCCCCCGAACTTATTTTATATATAATTTTCTACCCCTTTTCAGTCTACGTGGCACTATCTTGTGGGTCCAACGCGTGTTGATAATTTTTTCAAGGACAGTGCCACGTAGCCGAAAAGGGGTAGAAAATTAATTAAAAAATAAGTTCGGGGGTAATAGGATCTTACTAAAGGTTAGGTGTGTCTTAGAGATTTTGGGCGGGGTACTTATGCATTTTCCTATTTATTTTTTTATTCTTAAGAAATTTGATTTCTTAATTATAAAAAAATATAATTTTTAAATTTTGATCAACTAACCATGATTTTTTAAAATAAAAAACATGTGTCGTCCCTACTAAACACACTTTTCTTGGTGGAGAAACCCAATCAAGAAGCAACAAAGCTATAAAAAGCACGCTTGTTCTTGTCTGACTTCACCATTTTAGTGCTTTTGACTTTTGACTTCTTACTAATTTATATATATATACTAGATAATGTTGCCCGTGCTATGCACGGGCCCAATAATATAAATGGTATATTTTGGGGCTAATAACCGAGTTTTTGAAGCGATTCTTTGCGTGGATAAAGGAATAAGTTTTTTTTATCACAAACATGTACTTTCTTTGATGCTATTTAAGGCATAATAAAACTACCCACATACAACATTTTTGAAATATTTTATGTTGTCAATTATCATGATTTATAGTATTTTTACGCAATTTTTAAATATAAAAAAAATAAGACAAATAAATTAAAATGGACCCAATATATGTTATTTTTGTTGTCTCAATTTATGTGACACAAATGAAATTTGGAGAGTCATCCAAATTTTCATATTTTTTTTAAAAATGTTTGAAGTTATTAATTATTGTGATTTATAATATTTTTATGTAACTTTGAAATAATGTACATTACTGGTCACTTTGTCCTAATTTATGTGATATGGATAAAATTACAAAATTAACCCTTTTAAAATGTCTTTAAGATATTTTAAGTTATTAATTATTATTATTTATAATACTTTTTTGGTAATATTAAAATGATATGTGTTACAAAATTAACCCTTTTAAAATAACGCGTGTTGATAATTTTTTTAAGGATAGTGCCACGTAGCCGAAAAGGGGTAGAAAATTAATTAAAAAATAAGTTCGGGGGTAATAGGATCTTACTAAAGGTTAGGTGTGTCTCAGGGATTTTGGGCGGGGTATTTATGCATTTTCCTATTTATTTTTTTATTCTTAAGAAATTTGATTTCTTAATTATAAAAAAAAATATAATTTTTAAATTTTCGATCAACTAACCATGATTTTTTAAAATAAAAAACATGTTTCGTCCCTACTAAACACACTCTTCTTGGTGGAGAAACCCAATCAAGAAGCAACAAAGCTATAAAAAGCACGCTTGTTCTTGTCTGACTTCACCATTTTAGTGCTTTTGACTTTTGACTTCTTACTAATTTATATATATATATTTAGTATAAAATAGGGAAAAATGATACATATACTCCAAACTATCGTAAATGGTATGCAGATACCCTTCGTCATACTTTTGGGGCATTGGTGCCCCTGCCGTCCAAAAACTAGAGCATATATACCCTTTATACTAACAAACATACACATGTTATAATCTTATCCACCGACCCGACATTTATTAAATATCGGATTGACAGATAAGATTGCGTCACGTGTCCTTATTTAGTCTTCCGTTAGAGTGAAGGACAAATATGCTCTAGTTTTTGGAAGACAGTGGCACCAATGTTCCAAAAATATGACGGAGGGAATTTGCACACCATTTACGATAGTTTGAAGGTATATTTGTCCTTTTTTCCCTATAAAATAGTACTCCCTATGTTCTAATTTATGTGACTTACTTTCCTTTTTAGTCAGTTCCAAAAAAAATGACACACTTCCATATTAAGTAACAATTTAACTATGAAATGTCTATTTTACCCTTAATGAAATGATTTACAGCCACACAAATTTCTATCATTCATTTTGGACCACAAGTTTTAAAAGTCTTCCTTTCTTTCTTAAACTCCCTGTCGAGTTAAACTATCACACATAAAATGGGACGGAGGGAGTATATATTATCTAAGCATTTTTTTTTGCTTATATTTTGTAAATTCGTATGGCGAAGTGTTTAGGGCCGTAAATATCCTTTTTTATTTTTATTCTTGAAATAAAACTTCTAGATTAATGTATTTGACCTTTGAAATAAAAAATAATAATTCATTACTAATCACAAAAGCAAGTAGTGAGGTAAAACAAATCTATCTCTTAACCTACAAGCAATACTGGGTTGGCTTCTACTAAATTGCAAGAGTCATGCCTATCTAGGTTAATGAAAACATGCAATCACAAATGACTTTTTTCTCTGTCTCTTTGGTGTACATATGTGAAAAGAATATATTGTTTAATTTACTATTCTCTTTCAACTTATTTATCTTACTTTTATGTCGTTATTAATTTAACAACTCTTTAATTTTAACATTTCATATAATATGTTTAAAGGACACGATTAAAAAATATTTACATTATACGTATCTTTACTTTATTAATAATATAAGATTCGAAATTTTTTTTACTTTCTTAAACTTCACGCCAAGTAGCGGAGGAAGTAGTTGATAAAGAAGGCTTCAATAAAATGTCAACATCCATATTTTCTTCATTTCTTGTCATCTTTACCAAATAAAACCTAAGTTCACTCGTCATCATATTTCTATCATATTTTGCTTCAATGCCCTTTTCTTCCCTCCTCATGTTGATGTTTTTTCAAATTTTCATTCATACATACTTCAAGAAAATCACCTCGTACGAGCACACAAAAAATGGAAAATATCGAATCGATTGATAATGTTCAATCCATTATGTCAATGTATAGACCTTTGAAAAAGCTCAAAATTAGCCCATCATCACAACATAATAACCTTAGATCAAGTGGAGACGGGGTGGAGCCTGTAGCTCAGAGGATTAGAGCACATGGCTACGAATCACAGTTTCCTTTTCCTTTTGCTCTAGATGATCCTCCATCAAGTAATTGTCACATTAATTGGCAATCACTTACTCAAAACCAAACTATGATTTCTTTTGCACCTCAAAGTTGCTTTAATCAGTGTCGAATCACTAACAGTGGGACGAGGACGACTACGATGATGAATGTTTATGGCACTGTCTCCTCCCCTGCACCTAAACGGTACAGGGGAGTGAGACAACGCCACTGGGGGAAATGGGTAGCAGAGATTCGCCTTCCTCGTGAAAGAACTAGACTTTGGTTAGGCACGTTTGAAAGTGCTGAAGAAGCTGCTTTTGCTTATGATGTCGAGGCCTTTAGGCTCAGAGGAACAGATGCGCGTCTTAATTTCCCACATCTGTTCCTCGGGGACCTGGCCCCGACTGATAATAACATAGACGAGACTAACTCAGCATCGTCAAGTACTACTTCATTCGCGAAAAATCCTTCTCAAATCCAAAACAATAAACGGTGCATCAGGCAATGTCGGAACAAAAACAGGGTACCTTCAGCCATGGAACAGAGTACCTCTGTTTTAGACAGAGAAATAAGTATGCAGGCTAAGGCCGCGTACAATAAACCCTTGTGGTATGACCCTTCCCAGGACTTTGTGCATAACGAGAGCTTAGTGCACGAGACTTTCCAAATAAAGATGTTAGATGGGAGCGATTTTTATGAATCGACACCAAAATATACTTGTAGTATACAACAAGAAAATAGTGATATATGGAAAAATGTACTTCAATCCAGTCCATTTGGGAATTACAGTATTTGCACTGATGATAATTTGCAGCAACAGCAGCAGCAGTGTGATTTCACTATTACTGATCCAGGCTTCGGGGACGATGTTTTCGACTTTTCCTCCAATCCCCTGGAATAGATGGTTACTTCCACGCACCATGGGCGGAGCTACGGGGGTTCCTGGGTGGTCGGCTGAATACTCTTTGTCGGAAAATTACACTGTATAAGTCAAATCTTACTTTATATTGATATATAATAGCATTTTGGGGACGATCTTTTCAACTTTTCCTCTATAGCCGTGGAATAGGTAGTAACTTCCAGAGGCGGATTCAGGGCGAGTTCTGAGTTGAAGTGAACCTATTGATTTCAACTTAGAACTTTACAGTCGAATTTAGAATTTAAACTGAATTAATTGTACTTTTTAATTATGGATATAGAATATCTTTTTATTTTTGTTTTTTTTTACTTCTACATATATGTCATGTGACAAAAATATTGGGTTTGATTGAACCCATAGTTGAACTACTGCATCTGCCTCTACGTATGATAAGATCACACTTATTTTAAATTCACCTATTCTAAGTTTAAATTCATCTCTAGCGATGGTTGCCGCTCTCATATGGACTATGAAATTTGTCAAATGAGCATGAAATAAACATTAAAGATCCCAAATATGACATCAGAAAATAAGTAAGAAATCCACTTATTCACATCAAAAAATAAATAAGAATTCACTTATTTTTTAAGAATATATCTTCCGAAAAAATTATTTTACCCCCTAAATTCCTTTTCTCCACTTCTCAAACCATGGAACCAAAGTCCCCATATTCTATATTCAAGTATATAGCTTGAGTTTTTGTAAATTGTAGGCCACTACAGTTTTATTTTAGTTTAGTTTCATGATTTTTTAGGAGACTTCTTAATTTTTAGATATAAGAAGCCCATTTAAAACTGTCATCTTTTTTCTATTCATTTTACAAGTGGTCAGATGATCTTAATTTGAATAAGGATTACCCAAAAAATGTTATGCTCTCTTCATTTCTCTTTAACTTTTTTAAAAAACATTTTTATTATTATTTTGGCTCAATTTCTTCCAATAAAATAAGATTAAAATAGACACATAACACATCCACATAAAAATTTAAATTTATGCAAGAGTTCTTCATGTATTTGCATTAAATATTCAAGTATATTACTATCAAATACCATGAGTACACGTTTCAATATTATTTCATCATCAAATCTAGTAGTGAACAAACCTTAAAAAAACTAACCAATTAATGTTTCCATATTTTTCTTCTATTTTTTCATCAAATCTCAATATCCAATTATATCCACTAGGAATTTTTTTTAGTTTTTGCAAGTTTTGCTATTTTTAGTAAATTTCGTTATCTTCAACACACTATAAAAGGTGACATCTAACATATCACACATATATCTTCTATAATTCACTATACAAAATGTCTTATACGAAAAGAAGTTGCATTTCTGGGCTCTTTCTCTTGTTCTTAGCTCTTGCTTGTGAAGTGAATTCCGGGTTTATAGGAGTTAAGGATTCTCATTTTGAACTCAATGGATCCCCTTTTCTATTCAATGGTTTCAACTCATATTGGTTGATGCATGTTGCTGCTGACCCTACTGAGAGATACAAAGTCACTGAGGTTATTAAAGATGCATCTACCGCTGGTCTTTCTGTTTGTCGTACTTGGGCTTTTAGTGATGGAGGTGATAGAGCATTACAAATATCACCTGGTGTTTATGATGAACGTGTTTTTCAGGTAAAGGTTTGTTATTATAGTTTTGATAACTTTTACATTATCGCGTTGTAATGCATGTGAGTCTCTTAATTAGATAGTACTTGTTTTAATTGTTTCTAAATTTAGGGCTTGGATTTTGTGATCGCGGAAGCTAAGAAATATGGTGTTCGTTTAATCTTGAGCTTTGTAAATCAATGGAACGACTTTGGAGGAAAAGCTCAATATGTTTGGTCGGCGCGAAATGCAGGAGCTCAGATTAGTAATGATGATGAATTCTATACTCATCCTATGCTCAAAAAATACTTGAAGAACCACATTGAGGTATATATGGGGTAATTATTATTTAATACATATAAACAACTTTTTTATTAATAATATTATGAAATTGTTACAGAAAGTGGTTAAGGTTGAATAGTATTACTAAAGTTGCTTACAAAGATGATCCAACAATCATGGCATGGGAATTAATGAATGAGCCTCGCGATCAAGCTGACTATTCAGGAAAAACTGTTAATGTAAGTCCCAATTCAAGTTCAAATTAATTGAATTTTAGAAATATCAAATCTATAATTGACGTTTTTGACTAATAATGTTACAGGCTTGGGTTCAAGAAATGGCAAGTTTTGTGAAGTCATTAGACAACAAACACTTGTTAGAGGTTGGAATGGAGGGATTTTATGGTGATTCAATTCCTGAAAGGAAATCAGTTAATCCTGGTTATCAAGTTGGAACAGATTTCATTAGTAACCATCTTATCAATGAGATTGATTTTGCTACTATCCATGCATACACTAACCAATGGTAGTTTTTACATCTTTTCTCTACATACAATTTCATATGTTTTCATTATATAGGTCTAAATATTTCTTTATATCGATCGTTATAGGGTATCTGGACAAAGTGATGAAGCACAATTGGTGTGGATGGAAAAGTGGATAACAAGTCATTGGGAAGATGCAAGAAATATATTAAAGAAACCTTTAGTACTTGCTGAATTTGGAAAGTCTAGTAGAGGTCAAGGATCAAGAGATTTATTTGAGTAGTGTATATAGAAATGTGTATAATTTGGCAAAAGAAGGTGGAACAATGGCAGGAAGTTTAGTATGGCAACTAATGGCACATGGAATGGAGAATTATGATGATGGTTATTGTATTGTTTTGGGACAAAATCCTTCAACTACACAAATTATTTCAGACCAAGCTCATATCATGACAGCTTTGGCTCATTCTTTCAATTGAGTGAAAAGGCATCAAGATCACCATTATACAATAATCAAATTATAAGAGGATTTGAATGATCTTAAATCCATCATTTTTAAGTATTATTAATTTGAGATGATATTACCAAACATGTTGAAGTTGATTAATTAAACTCAAGAATGTAATTGAATAAATTATTTTAGTAAAAAGGAAAGTTATGTTTTATGTCCTCTTGTTTTTATTTTGAGTTTAATTTTTTAGTTTGAAAGCAAAGATTAAGAACACTAATTTTAATTCACAAAATAATACATGCAATTATATTGCTATCAAGCATATACAAACAAAAAAAAGAAAATTAAAAAAACAGAAAAGTCCACTCCTGCAATCTTCCATTAAGTCCGTCGCCTCTGAGCTCTCTTCATTGACCTTCTCATTTTCTTGGGATAAATGCCTTCAAAAAATTCCACAAACCATTTTGGCTTACGATATTTAAACATGAGGCTCCACACAACAGTTCCAACAACTAGTCCACAGCTGTAACCTATGACTACTGATTCCCACGTAAATCCACTAAAAAAATATGACTCGTCTTCAGACTCCAATGGTTGAGGAGCATGGGATGGATCACTCGTTCTACATTGCTTTGATAAAGGAGGACCACATAGATCAAGGTTACCGCCATACGAGTCATTTTCAAATGTGTTGAATTGTGGACCAAGAGGAATTGGTCCGAAGAGAACATTCTGAGAAACGTTTAACTTTTCCAGAAATGTTAGCCTTGTCAATTCCTGCGGAATCTTTCCAGTGAGCCGGTTCCAAGAGAGATCTAACGCTTCAAGCATATTCAATTGCCCCAATTCCATTGGAATATGACCTATGAGATTGTTATGGGATAAATTGAGCAGCCAAAGTGAGCTGAGATCCTTTAGTGTTTTCGGAATGACACCTTCAAAATAGTTGCTCGAGAGGTCTATGGTTGTCATAATTGTGCTGATTCTTTCTAGCGCAATTTCCTGGCCTTTGATCACCAAACTCACAGAATCCTCATACGATGTGTCAAATGCTTTCATGTACTTGATCTGTCCTGTGTCTTCACCATCTAATTTAATCATTGCCTTGAAGTTTCCAAAAACTTTTGCAGGGAGTGAGCCACTGAATTTGTTACGCGAAAGATCAAAAATTCGCAACTTCGGAAAGCAAAACGTAGTCTGACAAGTACTAATTGGTCCATGGAACATATTAGACTTTAATATTAAGACCTGCAGTTGTTCAAGTGTTCCTATCCAAGCAGGAAATGTGTCATTTATAGCGTTATTCCCCATATCAAGAACTTCTAAACCACTACAGTTGAGCAACGACATAGGGAGAATTCCTTCAAAGTGATTGTCATTCAAGACAATGGTACTCAATGAAGTGCTCTATGCACATAATGGGGGAAGACTCCCTGTGAAATTGTTCCTTCTTAAGTCCAACACTGTTAGACTAGACATGCTTCCCAAGCAACTTGGAATCGAGTTACTGAAGTCGTTGCGTGATAAATCTAGAAATTGAAGATTTCCCAAGCAACTTGGAATCAAGTTACTGAAGTTGTTGAGTGATAAATCTAGAAATTTAAGATCGCTCATGTTACAAATGGATGAAGAGAGTGGACCCTGAAGGGAGTTAAATTTAAGATCAAGATACCTTAGATTATGGAAATGAAATTGTTGTAGGTGGCCTGTTAAAGAATTATGCGAAAGATTTAGGTAGTACAAGTAGTCCCACCTTATGCTACTAAACCAGTTTGGGATTTGGCCACGAATCTTATTGTTAGAAATATCCAAGACCGTAAGTGTCTTTACATTTCTCAAGAAGTGTGGAAAATCCTTCAGTTCACAAGACGATAAATGCAAATCTTGTAGGCTAGGAAAAGTGATGTGTATTCCCTCATCGAAGGTGATGTTATTTGATGAAAGGGTGAGGGTAGAAAGGTTTGTGAGACTCGCAAGTGATTGAGGAAATGAACCACTGAGTTGATTATGGCTTAAATCTAGGTAATCTAATGTTGAGTTTGTTTTGAACTCATCGGCTAGTCCACTAAATTGATTATGTTGGAGAGACAATGAAGATAGCAAAGGGAGGCTAAACACCGAAGATGGTATGGTACCATTCAGTGAGTTGTACGACAGATCCAGTTTGGTTAGCTCTTGAGGCATGCTCACATTATTAGGCAGTGGGCCAGATAGGGAATTACTCGACAAGTCTAAGTCTTGAAGATGTGTCAAGCTTACAATTGTAGAAGGAAACGAACCGATGAAGCTGTTGTTATGAAGATATAAAAAACGTAGCTCTTGGAGGTTAGAAAAAATATCGGGAATTTCACCTGAAAAGGAGTTGGACGAGAGATCTAGGGATGTGAGGTGCTTCAATTTAGAGATTGTGGAAGGAATATAGCCGGTGAAATGATTATTAAGAAAATTCAAGATATTCAAGGAACTCAAGGTGCCAATTGAATCAGGCAGCTCACCGGAGATTCCTGTGAATGAAATATCCAGCTCCAACAGAGTGTTGCTCGGGTGGATCTTTGGTAAAACTCCTTTGAGAAGATCATTGTCACTCAAATAGAGCCTTTCCAATCCTGGCAGAAGGAAAAAGCTCTCTGTGATAAAACCTCGCAGATTAGTATGTCTAAGATCCACGTACCTTAAGGAGAAAGAAGAAATATTCACAGGTATTGAAGATGAGATGTTGACACCACAGAGAGAAACTACCTCCAGATTTGTGAAGTTTTGAAGAATTGTTTCAAATGTTCTCTCATCAAGTTCACATTCATAACAATTAAGTTCAAGTGAAACCAAATTGGAAAGGTATGATATTTCTGTTGGAATTTCCCCTACAAAGAAAGATTGAGAAAGGTTGAGATGCCTCAAATTCGTCAATCGGCCAATGTTATGTGGGATTGAAGAAGAATAGAAGTCATTGCGAGCAAGGTTTAGTGTCTGGAGATGATGGAGTTGGAAGAGGCTGCTATTGGGATGAATAGTTCCATTAAGCAGACTGCAACTAAGGTCCAATCCGATAACATGACCGGTTAACATGTCACAAGTTACCCCGTCCCAACTGCAGCAATCCCTACTCTCATTCCAAGACTTTGTTTTTGGGATATCAACAAAGGTCATATCTGGCAGATTAATCTCAACCCAACAGCTAGGTTGGTTAGAGATTTGAAAAGATTGTTTGAAGTGAAGCAAAGCAAAAGCTTCAGTGGGAGAGCAAACATGATGCATCATCACAGAGGAAGAAGAAAAGCTTTCACTAATTACCAACAAAAAACAGACAAGTGAATAAAAGAAAAACAGAATTCCCATCTTCTTTTTTTTAATTTTTTGTATTCAACAAAAAACTGAATGTTCTGTTCTTACAAATCAATCATCATTATCCACATATATATACTAGTTTATGAGTTACACTTACGTAATTTTTGTGAAATTATGCCTCTAATGAGTAATAAAATGCAATAACTTTTAAAAAAAATAAATTAAAAGTGTTTTGACAAGAAACATTAAATGAGGGTTGTATTTTATTGTTAAAAAATTAATTCCTTTCATGCTCGTAACGGTAAATTTTAAATTTTAGTTACTAATTAAAATTTCAATCAAGTCACCAATGAAAAATACATATTTACGATATTCAGAAATTCATATAAAATTGAATTAAAGTAGTCTAATAGAAAGAAAAACAAACAATAAAAAAATAGAGAAGAAAAAAATACAACATACACATTCTTGTTACGACTTTAATCATAACAATATAGATGGAAAATGATATACATTATCAGTACATAATTTTTAGAGTTTTTTTCCACGTCTTCTCCCATAATCAATCAAAATTCAAGAATCTTCTTCACCGAGTCAAACTAAAACATGAATAAAGTAGTATATATAATTAACATTAAGCTAAGAGGTGGAAGGTGCTACCACCTAAGCAACCCCTCTTGTCCATACATGTCTAGGATACTAACTTCATGATTCGAACTCAAAATTCTATCACTTCCCATAGAATTTGTGGAGATTGACTTGTCTATCTTGTATTATATTCGTAATTTTATTTTCCCAGGTATCACACGTGTATCTTGTGCTTCGAATACCGCTTTATTTTGTTTTCATATTGTTCATTCATCTGTATATTATACTACTCTTCTTTTCATATTAATTTGTTGTTGTTATTACTCTAATTTTCGTAATCCCTTTTTCAAAAAGGCCTGGCCATGCTTTATTTTGAGTCGAGTGCCTATCAGAAGCAACCTCTCATAGAGATAAGGTCTGTGCACATTCTACTTTTCTCTAGACCCCACTTATGAGTTTATACTGAATATGTTATAGTTGTTATTGACTTGTCTATCGGACTGTGAAGTAAAACATCCAGACAAATAAAATGGGGTACTTGCCCCCCATCTACCACAAACTAATTTGTGGTTGCAAAAAAATTGTCCCAAGTGTTAAGTCAATTTCCATAAAGACTCAATCAAGTCTTTAATTCTTGGTTGCTAGTACCAATTATTCCATATTTGTTTTCTCTAAATGTTGTTTTCATTTCGAGGTCATCGACTATCTCTACCGTGTGTGTTACGCAATGTGAATTCGTCCCGTCACATAACACACAGAAAATTTTGGTGTAGAGCTTGTAACAAATTTCCAATTAAAGATACTATTGCTTGACCAAGTCAAGTGAGAAAAATAAAAAAACAATAATTGAAGACGTGATTTAACTCCTGTGTTTACTTGGCATATGCATTTAATGTAACATTAACGATACCGTGTGGAATTTTTCAAACTTATGAGTCACATTCTATAATTTTCCACAAGACTTTTCACATCCATGTAGTTGTAGTAAAAATAGATGTTTAAAAAACTTCCAAGTCTTTAAGCCAATTTCCACAAAGACTACAGGGGGGAAAAAAGGACAAATTATGTTATAGTTGTTATTGACTTGTCTATCAGACTGTGAAGTAAAACATCCAGACAAATAAAATGGGGTACTTGCCCCCCATCTACCACAAACTAATTTGTGGTTGCAAAAAAATTGTCCCAAGTGTTAAGTCAATTTCCAGAAAGTCTCAATCAAGTCTTAATTCTTGTTGCTAGTACCAATTATTCCATATTTGTTTTCTCTAAATGTTGTTTTCATTTTGAGGTCATCGACTATCTCTGCCGTGTGTGTTACGCAAAGCAATGTAAATTCGTTCCGTTACATAACACACGGTAGAAAGTTTTGGTGTAGAGCTTGTAACAAATTTCCAATTAAAGATACTATTGCTTGACCAAGTCAAGTGAGAAAAATAAAAAAAACAATAATTGAAGACATGATTTAACTCCTGTGTTTTACTTAGCATATGCATTTAATGCAACATTAATGATACCGTGTGGAATTTTTCAAAATTATGAGTCACATTCTATAATTTTCCACAAGACTTTCACATCCATGTAGTTGTAGTAGAAATAGATGTTTAAAAAACTTCCAAGTCTTTAAGCCAATTTCCACAAAGACTACAGGGGGAAAAAAGGACAAATATGATGAGATGGAAAATAACTAAATCAGTAGTCGAAGCAAATGCTAAAAATAACTAGGTTCTTACTTAGACCACAAAAAAAATATATTCATGAGATTATTCCAACATTACTTATTATACAGGATATATATTATGTGTCCTGCAGGTGAATTATGTAAAAGGTTTAGGTGCGACAATCAGAGGCGGATCTAAGATTTGGAGGTCCTGGGTGTCACATTGTTCAAGTAAAGCGGGTGGGGTCGGTTACTTTAATTTTAGGGTTACAAATCGAGTTATTTATCTTTTTTCGATTTTTATCTACAAATCGATTAAACATGCATGTTAGTAATATTTTCTTTTAGATATTATGAGATTAAAGAAAACTAAACAATTCAATGTTTTTTTCTTTTTTAGGAATTAGTGGCCTTATTCGCTGAAACTTTGAGGAAAAAAAGATTTTTCATACTAAAATTTGAGCTTGTATAAACTATTGAATAGTGTTAACTTAATATTATCTTCCAATGACTTTATGTGTTGTTGCCAAAATATAACAAAGAGAATACAAATTTTAGTTTCAATCTAGTCCCTATTTAGCAAGAACGTTGGTGAAGATCGAAAGAACCTTCAAATTAAAATAACTCTAATAATAATATTCAATATTTTTAAAACTATTATTTAAATATATTCTTAATAATATTTATGTCACGTTCATAATTCAGTACTCATTAATTGATAAAATAAACATGTGACACTCATATCAAGAGATTAATAATTAGTGAAAGAGAAGGTAAAAGAACTTAAAAATTATGGTGAATAAGAGTCAATATGAATTAATAAAAAATACTAGTAAATAAATAAGAATGAATGAGAGGAAAAAAAAAAAAAAGAACCTTCACACATTAATAAAAATGACAAAAAAAAAAAAGAAAAAAAGAAAGAAAGAGAGAAAAAGCTTGACAAAAAAAGGAAGAAAAAGCTTCAGCTTCCAAAAATCAATGCTGCAACTGAGGTTCGAACCCGCGCTGCCCGTGTGGCAAAGGGCCTGCTTTGCCAATTGGACTGTTCACCACATTGTTTTGTGGGTGGCAAAGAAAATATATAAAACATTTCTTATACATATATACATATATATACAAAGTTTTTTTCGAGATCTGTGGGTGCCGTGGCACCCCACGGCTACCCATAGATCCCCCTGGCGAGAATGAATCCCATCTCATGTTGCTAAACCAGTTAATGATTGAGCCATGAATCCACCAGGAGTCAAGGGACCAAGTCCTTGACTAAGAACAAACAATACAACAGAAATTAAAGCACACACAATATCTCTATATTACTAATTGTGGATCTGTTTCTCTATACAGGCAAAATTCAGAAGCAAATATTTGTTTCTAAACATTTGAGGATCACCTCCATATCTCTAAGTCACAGGTTAACGGGTGGCTCATTCTACTAAAATGAGTAACTTGTTACTTATATTTTGTAGTATTCCACAAGACTTTTTAGAGGATGAAGAAGACTTAACCAATTAATACTCATTATGTCCTAATTTTCTCTAAAAATTGTTTTCATTTCGAGGTCATTGACTATCTCGACAGTGTGTGTTACGCAGGACGATGTGAAATGATCCCATTACGTAACACACATTGTACAGAAATTTTCTGCAGACTTCTAACAAATTTTACTATATTATAGAAGAGTCTAGGAATGACTATCAATGTTCCAATAAGATCACTACTAATGTCCAATATATTTATAAAATATATAAGTGGTCCCCACCACCTTCCACTTAAATACTACATATTATATATTATTAATTACTATACTATAAATCACTACTAATATCCAATATATTTATCAAACTATATAAGTGGGCCCCACCACCTTCCACTTAAATACTACATATTATATATTATTAATTACTATACTATAAATCACTACTAATATCCAATATATTTATCAAACTATATAAGTGGGCCCCACCACCTTCCACTTAAATACTACATATTATATATTATTAATTACTATACTATAAATCACTACTAATATCCAATATATTTATCAAACTATATAAGTGGGCCCCACCACCTTCCACTTAAATACTACATATTATATATTATTAATTACTATACTATAAATCACTACTAATATCCAATATATTTATCAAACTATATAAGTGGGCCCCACCACCTTCCACTTAAATACTACATATTATATATTATTAATTACTATACTATAAATCACTACTAATATCCAATATATTTATCAAACTATATAAGTGGGCCCCACCACCTTCCACTTAAATACTACATATTATATATTATTAATTACTATACTATAAATCACTACTAATATCCAATATATTTATCAAACTATATAAGTGGGCCCCACCACCTTCCACTTAAATACTACATATTATATATTACA